GGGGGGGGGAAGGTCAATATGACCTGGTGGCGAGAGTTAGGACTTCGAGGATGATGATGCGGATGGCATGAGGGAATCTGACGGGCAACACGACAATCGCGTCGTTATCTACCATCAGAAATGTAAGTGGGCCTCTCTTCGAATACTTGCCAAATGTAAGATGTGGGGGGTGTATTCTTCCGTTAAATCTGGAACAATACACTCTCCATGTCCTGCATTTGGCCAGTTGAAGACGCAGTCTCACCAATCTCCAATCTCTGGGGAAGCAAACCAACCAACCAACCAACCAACCAAACAACCAAACAACCAACCAACCAACCAAACTAGCAAGCAACAAACAAACAAACAAACAAGCAACAAGCAAACAAACAAACAAACAAACAAACAAACAAACAAAACAAAACAAAGCAAAACAAAGCAAAACAAACGAAAACAAGAAACCAACAAACCAACAGAAAAACAAACAAACAAGCGAACATAACCAGAAAAACAAACAAATAAAGCGAATAAACGAACAAAGCAGACAAACAAAGAAAGCAGGGCAGAGTAGAGATGGTTAGGAAGACGACCCTCCGTTGTTCGTGGTGTTGGTATGAATCCTGTGGACCATCCTCATGGAGGAGGAGGAGGAGGAGGAGAAGGACGTACAAAAGGAGGCCGAAGGTATGAAGCAAATGAACAAACAAATGAGGCAAATAAAGAAAGCGAAGAACGCAAAGAAACAAGCAAAGCGAAACAAATGCATAAATGAATGAATCAAACGACCAAACAAATGACGCAAATGAACCAAACAAAAAAAGCGAAGAAAAATAATCAAAGCAAAGTCAAGCAAGGAGAAGCAAAGGGAAGACGAAGCAAAGCAAGGAAATGAACGATCAAATCGAACAAACGAGCAAGAACGGAGGCTACTAGACAGCATTCCTGGGCAGCTTTTTGGACGGGTACTATACATTCGGACTGATCCAACATTTTGCATGTATGAGGACCGTTGACGGCTTCACGTTCATCAAGAACGTTATGCAGTGCAGCGTTCCTGGGCAGCTTTTTGGACGGTACTATGCATTCGGACTGATCCAACATTTTGCATGTACGAGGACCGTTTACGGCTTCACGTTCATCACGAATGTTGTGCAGTGCAGCGCGGCTCCAAGACAGCCATGACGATACCAACAGTCCGTGGCGTAATGGTAGACTAAGTACCCACATGTACTGTGTCCACTTTTTTTTGTTAAACGGATAAGATAAGATAATATAAGATTAAAAAACAAAAAAGATAAGACAAGATAAGATAAAATTAGTGTGTTAAAATCATGGTGGATATACCTAATACCATAATAAGAAGGGTTGACTCCCTATTTGGAGGGGGAGGGG